ATTTCATAATTTTCAAAATATAAATTAAATCAATAATGAATCAATTTCTAGACATCACAAATGATAATAAAAATATAGTTGTTACGATTTTTTGATTTTTTTAATCAAATGCGCACTTTTAATGTTTGGTATTTGGTAGTCATGATTGTTTTTATTAAAACGATAACTTTCGAAACTGATTCGATAACACAAAATAAAATTTCAAATATAATATCAAATCCATCGCGTTTTTTGCACTTTTAAAAGCGAAATTGTGGCATCTCTGTTTCTTTGTCTTATTTTGAATAACTGCACTTTTCGCAGCTTTGAAAATTCAACATGTAATCAATTAAATTTGTTCACTTTGTGTCATGTTAAATTGTTAATTTAACATTCACTTTACTAATATTTTTATACATACATATATGAATTATTAAATATATATATGCATATGTATTCGTCATTAATTTATATACATATTTGTACTCTCAATATCAAAGTTTTCATTATAAATGGAACTTAAAATAAGGCTTTAATTTTATTACTAACACTTTCTTTTTTACTTTATGATACATTGTTTACAAATTTAATTAAATAGTTTAAAATTTTTCATTTAATATTAATTAATTCGATATTGCACATACTCATTTACTACAACACGAACCGACCAAAGCAACATTGTAAACCGAACTATTTCTAAAGTGCGTCGGTCATTTTTTACGATGAATAATTTAACGGCTCCTTACTTATCGTGAATGAACCTCCTTATCGACTTTATGGCGTGTGAAGAAACGATATAAACATTTAATAAATATTTTTATATTATATCTGATTTTTAACTTTAACCAAAAATATTTAATACTTTTATTTGTGACCAAAAAATTTTATAATAATTTATAAACGGGCTAATTGGTCAATTAAAATAGAAATAAGAACACTATAATTTATTATTTATATTTAAAAATAGTCCTTCAAGGAAACTGTTTCCCTGAAGATGATTTTTAATAAAATATAAACTATTTTTAAATAAAAATAATAAATTATAGTGTTTTTTTTATTAAAATTAACCAATTGGCCCGTTAATAAATTATTATTCAACCAAAACCATCAACCAAGGTCAATTAAAATTAATGAAATTTTGTTATTGCATTCAATACTGTTTAAAAAACCTTTTTATAAAAATTATTATGAAATAAAAGTTATCATATTTAATATATAGAAAATATAATATATGTTTCTTAACCATTTTTTTTATTTCAGTTTTATTGTTTGTATTCATTTTTGCACTACTAACAAACGGAGTTAGTACAGTTCTCCTACTACCTTAAGGTAGTAGGCTTAAACAAAGAAATTGTGGTTCATAATGTAGAAGATTAATCTTCTTCTACTAAATAACTAAAACTATTATGTTTTTATAAAGAAAATATTCACATTTTTTGTTAATTACACAATGCGACATTAAATTCTCTTTAACGATTTGTCAATTTTGGTAGGTTAATTTGAAGTGATTGAACTCAAATTTTTTCCGCATTTTTTATCTAAACATATATGTTTCCAGTAATAACGGGTTGAAGTTTAAAAATTTTGCTTTTAAAGTGTTTATATAAAATTTTTATTTTAAAAAATACATATTTATTGTCTTTAGTAAACCATACTTGAGTTTTGTAGCCCAGTGTTATCATCGCAACGAATTTCACAAATAGCCCACCTGGCTTCTAATATTTTTATTTGTTATTGAAATTAGAAGCTTTAAATGAGATAGAACTTAAGTGTCTACTGCTGCTTTTTGTACTACCAGAATGCACTATTCACAAATCTTGTAGGCAGCATCAAATCTTTGTTTGATGCTGCGGATAATGCAGCACGGATAATTTGTTGGACGGATAATGCCCACCACAATCGTACCGACATTAATTAATATCTATCATTTTATAGCATATTTACTTAAAATTTTCCGTAATTGATTTCCTGGCACATATTTTATTTCATCTTACATATTTTAATATGCCATTGCTACACTTTTTTCTAACAGTTAGTTCTAAACTTTTAAAAAACTTATAGGTAATTAGATTTCTTACAAATGTGTTATTCTATCTAATCCATAGAGTAGACCAATGTTTCTTTTTTTTGACTAATAGTTCAAAAAAAATTTAATTCGCTTTGTAAATGCTATCTCCAACATCTTTTTATGATATCAGTACATTTAAATAATTCTATGTTGTCCTTAGAATATCAATTTGATTAACATTATTTATCAATTTGTTGTTTTTTTTTTGTACTTATTACAAATTATTTTTGTCGAATGCAGTGTGGGATGGTATTATTGGCGTTGTAGATTTTACAAATTACTTAATTCTTGGCATTACTGTGGCTTTGGCTTGGGAATTACCAAGTAAACCACCCAGCGAAGTATTATCGGATATAGAACAGCGGCTTGCAGATGGTACACTAGGCATAAGCCGAAATGATACCATAACAAATATTACATACGTGGATACAATATCTACAAAACAAGGAACGCAGTATATAAACATAGGACAAAATAATAATATTAAAAATGGAAAAGATTCAAGTATATATTATACAAATTATAGAGCACCATCAGTTTTTCGAACACCAATGCACCAGAAATATTACTTTTACCGACCCAAGGATAGTTACTACAGCAATAAACCATACTATAGACCACTTACAAAAACAAATGCTTATACAAATAACCAACAAAAGTATGGCTGGCGACGAAAGGATAGCTACTATTACACACCAAAACCAAATCCTTTTACAAAATGGACTAAAACATATCAAAATCAAGGTAGTACCGCGCAAAGTAGTGCTGTGAAATATCCTTGGTGGTATTTACCTACTAGGTGTGTATATTGAATATCTTGAATTAATAGTAATCTGATATATTTATATTAAAATCTGCAATTTTCTAATAAAAACTCTCCATTTTTCAAATGCATTTTATTTAATAGATTGTCAAATTCAAGACGTAAAAATTCGTATACAAACTCAATACCTGCCACTTCAGCAACATCCAAGAGCTATTATAAAACTAAAAATGCTAAGATACAAGCAAGAAATCAAAAGCAAAATTTTTTGCAATTCGATTCCAAAGCTCGTAGTCAGCAAAGGTATTCGCATAGACAAGCCAGAAAACATCGCATTTTTCCGATTTTCGGAAAGCGTAGCGTATCTGATGACAGCAATTCATATGCTGCCAGTGACAGCAGTACATCCTCTGCCACTCACAACACTAAGCACAACACACGTCAGCATAATCGCAAGCGACGTCGCAGCGGTATTGCAGGATCTGAACTAAGCAAATTGGATCAAATACACATCCGACATCATCGAACTACAAGACACACACTTTACGAGAAAATAGAAAAATATCTGGATAAGTGAGTTAATTCTTTATACACATTTCAGTTTTTTTTATATATTTACATTTTATAGATGTTTTTCTTTTATTTTGTTTTGTTTTTTGCATTGAAAACTACAAAAAATTGAATAAAATTGTTTTTCAAAGTACATATAATCCTGTACATTGGTCATCTGTCTTTCGATTTCCCCATTTTTATTATTAAATCTGGTTCGGCATAACAAAACGGAAATGCAAATTGATGCAGAAGAGTTGTAAATTTCCTGTAACAAAGATAAAGCAAATTTCCTTTTATTACGCATAAAAACAGATGGAAGAGAAAACTCGTGAAATAGATTACTGATATGTAAAGAACGTTTAAATATTTGTCATGAGAGTGTGGACAAAGTGATATTTTGATGACTTCGCATTCCCTACAGAAAAGAATTTTTAATATTATCTTCAGGTACTTCTAATTTGACCCTTGATGCTTTGTAGAAATAATACGAGTATAAATTGATATTTATAATTTTTCATTAAAAATTAAAACGAATATGGTTAAAATATTTCAACAAAGATATTTTCTATAATCACAATATCCCTTGATATATACATCTCTTGCACAATATCCCTTGCACAATGGTTTTAAGAGTGCATTAATTCACTCATATTATTTCATTTGTTTTGGTGATTGCTATATTGAATTTAAAGAAAATCTCCGTTCCAAATAAATAAGATTTAGAGGATATTCCTTGAAACACAAGAAATGAAATAAATCATATGTAATTAAGTTTTTTCTATAAAATATTGTTTTCCTTCTAGATGTCTGTAAGAGAAACCATTTTCTCGAGAAGTGATTTTTTCATTCAAGAAAAGAAAAGCTTGACTTACAGAACCGTTGTTGCAAAACGATAAACAATGCCTTGGCAAAACAAAAAACCTTATTATGTTTTTTCTTTAGTTTATTCTAAATTATATGCGGTATCTCTTGCTAATCAATTTCTTAAGCTTAATCAATTTCATGATGCGATATGTTTACGGTCTAAGAAGCTATGTTCACCTGGCTAGTTACTGGAATGCAAGCTTAGGTTGCGACATTGAACAATTTATGAAGATTCAAGTCTGTTAGTTTCTGTTCAAATTGGTTAATCCTAAATTATCTGAATATATTTTCAATTTTTTGCAACAATCCCAATCCAATAGATCTCTTTTTTTATTATTCTCATATTTAAGTTTGCTTCCACTATAAATTTTTTCTTTATCCATTCGATCAGAGTATGGAATTTGCTTTTATATGTAACCAGAAACTCAAATAGAATAGGAGCTTACAAAAAACTAATAATTAATGAATTATCTTGATATCACCCGTTCTGACACGTAATTATATTTCTTGATTAATATTTT